ATCTGCGTTCTGCTGTTTATTTTGTTGACAGTTACATAGACAGATTCTTTAATACAAATGCATAAAATCGGTGATTTACAATGTGATTAGGTTGTCTGACAAAACATCCACTTGCACAGTTTGAGATCGATTGGGACCTTGGATGAAAAGATATTTACAAAAAAACGGGTCCACATGCATTTCAGGCCAAACTAGTTTGTGATCGTCATCAATCTTACCATATCAATAATGACAAGGTTGTCACAAACAGTTATTGCACCTATGCCGATGGATTCAAAAGGATTGGTAAGCATTCAGACATAATGAAATATCTATTAATAAAATGTCATCACTACATAAACTTCTCTTACGGTTGCCATGTGTGAAAGAACTCTGAACCAGTCTCATAGAAGTACAAATGACTCCATTTCAATTGGTTAAATACACTCAATGATGTAAGCTTTCAAAATGGTGTAATTCTGTAAAATGGTGTAAAAGTGTAAAATTGAGAAATATCTGCCTCACCCACTTAACATCATCACTGATATTCTCTCATGTCCTTTTACTTATCACAGATGTGGGACTCTTTCTTGATAACTAGACTGGCTCAAACTCTGCAAAAAATGCATTTGAAATGTCAGATTTTCTTATATTCATATGTGCTATGGGTGTTGAATCATCTCATTTTGACAATAAAGACAATGTGAAAATTGCTGTGATAATGCAGGAATATAAGATGCATCCTTGAAGGAGAAAGTAACTTGTGTTTTAACATGCCTTTGAACAGTATTCCAGCTACATCACCAGGTATCATCTTAATGTGGGCTGAAAGCCGAAATTGATGCAGGTCTCCGAGTTAATCATTTTGGTTAAACCCACAAGGGTGGGTAAGGTGCTCACAAGGCTATCCTGAAACATAATCAGGATTCGAACACATGATCATAGGGTTCGGGTCTGCCTGAGGGATCCAACTTTGCATTTACTTTGAGGTTTATCGAGACAATGCATTCTCATATGGTTATTTCCAGTGTATTGCTTTAATTTTATACAAGCAGTATGTATTCTGTGTTGCAGTAAAATACATTGTATACACTTTGCAAGCCGTGTAGATCCCTGGGCAGGAGCTAACCCCCAAGTGACACATATGTATCCAAGGGTTCACCACTCATCCAATACATAATCCAGTCAGTGTCATGCAGAAAGTGGGTGATAGCATGAGCATCATTCCATCCAGGCTTCCACTACACACAATCAGCCAGTCTCCACACTGTAATTACCCAAAATAGTCCTATTTACCTAAGTGTCTGTAAGATATGTGGTGTCCTTTGTCTGTATGGGAGAAAGGCAACATAGTGACTTGCCTTCTCCTTAAATCACTTTATTCACATCTATCTTATGTTCAGAAGAGAGATGTTCCTGTACAGAAGCAACATCTACAGCATGTTACACAGTTAATGTATTACCCAAGCATCTTCGACATCTCATTCTCCTTGTTGGCTTCAACTATCAAACCAAATGCAACATGTTACATTTGCATGTCTTGCCTTAAAATAAATGTCTTGACTTAAAATAAACTGCCACTTTTTCCTTCGTTCAAATTTGGAGAGTATGGTTGCTATGTCATCTTATTTTCTTAACTCCCAAATCCAGTTGGAAGATCATGGCATTTTGATGTTTCTAAAAATGCTTCATGTGCAAAATGATAAACAATGTAACACATCACTTGTGGGTAAGAGATTTTATTTCATTACACATCAGGTGACAGCACATAAATAATCTAAAAATATAACATGAATATATTATCACAACCAATAGGAAGATGAATAAACGGTGTGTGAAAACACAGATACATGTAAGTACTCAGATTTTTATACAATCACTCCATTTTGGGGACAGCTTTGAGACATAAAGCACCAAACAGTCTCTTCACATTCCAGCATTACACTAGGGATAAGCCATGAAAAAAGTCATTCAAGTTTGCCACATAACTGGCATGCATGTAGTCCGCTGTATTCTATGTTTTTGCATATCCATGTTAATCTGAAAAGACAAAAAATGGATTTGAGGATATAGACCATAAGAGTGAGTATGGTTATATTCCTGCAATATCACTGCAGGGGACACAAGAAATGGGATTGACACATAGAACACATGTGGGAAATTGAACCTGGGTATTTGGTGTGACAAGCAAACAGCTTTAACCACAAGGCTACATCCCCTTCCCTAGATCACAGAGACAATATTGGAAAGGTCATGTTAGTCTTTAAAGTCTTTAATGTTTTTGTTTACTTTCATAAACTGACAGTTTCTTTACCATGTCAACATGAGCGAAACTAATGGAATGTCCAAGCAGACTCATGTGAATAGTGACAAACTAAAAGGACCAGCTATTTAAGAAAACGTGAGGCCAGTTTTTCACTTTCAGAAATATAAGAACACAGACAAAAATGAATGAAATTTGCTATCATTGTTTTTTCAGGGTCCAAGAGCTCATGTCCCTGGCAATTTGAAGTTCAGATTGATTAATTTGATCAAATGCTTTACGCTCCCCATCAGATAACCATATGGTATATTTACACATGCACAAAGATAGATGCTACAAGGACAAGCAAGCTGGTGCAACTTCTATTATTTTCAATGTGTTGCAAGAAAAATTACCCATACGTCCATAGTCGCTCATCGATGTTTTTTCTTGTCTTTGCCTTTCCCTCTGCGGTAGCTCTCTGTCCTTCCTGCTGTTTGTGAAGACTGATCTGATGGGGCAGTGTCTTCATTCTGAAACATGAAACTGAAAGTATCAGAAACCATACGTAATGATTAGGTGAAGAAATAATGTGTTCTTTAACACATAACTCCGCAAAATTCCAACTATAAGATACAAGATGGTGACTTGTAAATAATTATGTTTGGGCCAGACATTCAACATGATCAAGTGACTGATAAGACCAACAATCCATGCTGTTAGCATGGTTAGAGTACAATAAAAGAAAATCGACATGTCACTGAGTCTCACCATCCCATTCATTCACCGTCTCTTATGACTAACATAAGTTGATTGGCACCAATTGAACCTGGAATCCCATGGAGGTAAAATTTACATTTGTCCTGTGGATACTTAAACTTATGTAACTCACTGAACAAATAATCAAAACTCACATAACATGTTGGTAGGTTTTGCTATAAGCAAGCATGTGAATTTAAAAACCCCACTGTTGTACATTTCTGTACTTCAAATATCAATCAATAACAAAATACAATCTAATTCTGAATTCATTTCATGTCTATGAAATTTAGAAAAAGATTAGATTTTAAAAGATCAGTGTGCAACTGTAAAAGCATGACAGACTGTGTGCGTTGGCTCTGATGGACTATCGATGTCAGTAGTTGCAAAGAGAGTACTGTGTACACAGCAGAAAACACCTGCCGAAACTGTAGGACCCCATCACAGCTATTGGCTAGGATCTTAATGGGTTCTTCGATTAGAAAGGGGTACATGTATATAAATCTAACTACCATAAAGGAGTCAAAGAGCTGGGTGGGACCTACCCTAACTCACAAAGAATCCTAAGGGCAGTAGTCAGGTTGGGGAAACCTACCGATCGGCTTATAATAGGCCAAACGTGATATTATAGGCCGTTCTGTCTATTTTGCTATAGGCCGATCGGCCTATAATTATGATATTTAATTTATCAAATAAATTTGAAGCGGTGCATTTCTGCATGAGGATATTAACATCATTCAAGTTTTGATGTCCTAAGGTTTCATTCAAACCCTTTTCGAGAATTTTCATGACATAATAAAGGAGTTTGGAAATTGCTAATTAATATAAGTCTACAATATTTTTTGACAATTTTCACAGCAAATTAAAGACATAGATATTCAGTGTTTGTTTTCAAAAGGAAAATCTTTTCAAAATTGTGTACTTAATGAAACATCTTTTCCTGAACATGATATAAATTTCCATTTTGTCCAAAAACTTTTTTTTTCAAGCTGAGGAGGTCCATTTACTATCTCTATGATCATATAAAACCATTTCGTGCGGAAAGTGATAGTTTGTGAAATAATTAGAAAAAAGTTCAAAGATAGCCCCATCGGCCTATAGCAAATTAGGCAGAACGGCATATAATATCCTGTTCGGCCTTTTATAGGTGGTTGTATCCCATTACCCCTACATCCCAGTACCGCTACAATTAGTTAAAACAACACACGGCATTTACCTGTCTGGCATAATGAACTTACCCATGGGAGCGATTAAAGTGTTGTGAAATCATTTATATGGATGTAACCTTTACTGCCTGCCCTGGTCTGTGGAATCAACATGATCAAGTGTACATCCTACATGCAAGACCTATGGTATCGGTAGGTTTCCCCAACCTGGTAGTTGCACGCGGAATAAACAAATTGCGAGGTATTCAGGTTAGAGTCTGACAGTCAGAGCCAATTAGCGCTCGAGTAACCAACACCTGGTAAACTGCGCTCTTGCCAAATAAATGACATAATATATCGCCAACGTCTTAGACTTTTAAATAATGTTATACTGACATTGCAACGTCGACATGATCGACTTTATCGATTGTCAAAACACCCATTCAGTTACACAACAACGATACCATACAGCTACACAAAACACAAACCTCTTCTTGTTGACTCTTAGGTACAAAGACAACTGCAAAAATACAAATCAGCTGAAAAATAGCCCCAGCGAATAGACCATAATGCAAAAAGTTGTCAAACCAGGTTGGTTCATCGATAATCACCGCCATCTTGGAAAGTGAAACGTATTCGTTTACGATAATGTTGTCAGAAATGTTTTACCATTTACATATGTATCCCTACAAATATGAAGACGTATTATTAAAAAACTTAACACAAAATAAACATTTTATTTAGATGATAAACTTATCTGATTCTTGATATATCAATATGTCGTAAATATAAACAGAATAACCATTGTTGGCGTGAATCCTAATTGACCAATGAAAGCAAAGAGTGTTGCCCATGTGACAGTTTGAACAACCGAGCGAAATATGAATGTTGAATTGCGCAGATGTAAGCGTTTTGTAGATTTTAAAGTAATATCACTTTATGAGCACAGTTTCGGTCAGTACATCAAGATCCTTTTAATACTGTATTCTATTATACGTAAATGTCTTACATTTGTATGATCCATTCGCTGGTTTGTCATGTTGGCTAGGCTGCAACAGATGTGGGGTTCCCCAAACGTCCAAAATGTTCATGAATAATAAAAATCCCATCTACACTAAATTAACCATTTCTCTTACTTTATAAGAAGGTTATATTGAGTGTTAACAATCCAGGCACTCTGCCTGTAATCCACTTCTTTAATCAGGAAATCAGTTGCAGATATACGCATGTCACTTAGTAGGTCTACGTGAATTTACAAGGTCACCGTAACTATCGATCTCTTTTTTTTCTTTCGGTTTTTCTAAAATATCAGTTCAGGATGATTAATTCCAATTCACGACCCAAGAGCTTGAATGTGTACCTTGGCTATATCAAAGCATAGTTACATGTTTATGACGAACATAATGTTCACATCATGTTTCACTGTTTGTAGTGTGGGCAGCTATGTTTGAGCAGCTTTATTGTAACCTGCTTAATATGCTGTTTGAAGAGAATGTTGGTAAACCAGCAAACGACAGCATGAGCTACAGATCATACTGTCAGGGTTCAATGACACACAGCAGCAGAAATTGATCTGGAATGTTCATAACTTGTAAAGGCCTGAAATTCTACTCGCCTCCAGTGCTTGTTTCCTTTCCTGTTGCATTTGTGTCCATATAAACCAGAATTGTTCTTCCACGAAATTCTATATGGTGGTCTGCCATGTAAATTGGCCTGAAAAAGATGAACTAAATATCTCTGCAGCTTACAGTCTTATATATTGCCACATGTCATCATTGCTGTAGCACTGATTAGTTGGGATGCCACAATACATCGATACTTCTTCTAAGACGATACAATTATTGATACATTCAAAACTGTATCGATATTTACTTTTGAAAGTATCGGTTTAGATATATTTATGTATCGTTTCCATTTTGCAATTGTATCATGTTTTTTTATGTTATGAGAGTTATAAATGATTATTTTTCATGCTCAAAGATGGAAAATGAGAACTTTTTAATCTCTGAGAATAAAAAATGTTAATCTTTTCATGGACAATTATACAAAATGAAATATTAATGTTCAAAATGTAACTAAATTTACGCAATAATGCCGCGAAAATAGGTATCATGATATGTATCGAATCGTGACATGGGTATCATGATATTCATCGATTCATGAAACTTCTGTATTGTGACATCCCTACTGATTAGACTGCCAAATCTAGGAAAAACTTTGTAGCAAGTCATCAAGTGTAAAAACAATGACAAAATTAAATACCGGTACAAAAGTACCCAAAAAATCATGCTTACCAACTTATATGTAAGGTCCTTGCTACTTGAAACAAGATTTTTAGAATGTTTTTCATTATCATATTTCAATGCTAAATGTTGTATTTATTGTCAACTGAATTGTGATAACACGTTGGTAAAATGATACCAGAATCAATTTACAATTGAAACATCATATTTGCTCCATATCAGTCCTATCCTGTTACATTCCAGTGACTGAAGTTATATGAAGCTGAGGTGGAATCAACGAACATAACAAATTGAAAGCTGAAGTGTGAAATACATTGTGTGTGACAACTGTGAACCACATTCAAAGAATGGCAGGTACAGACAACATACAGTTTTATTGTTATATACTAACAAACATAGCTGTCATCAAATCAATACAACAGTCTTCATTCTATAATGGAGCAGTGTAATTTTTCAATGAATATTGCCTATCAGTAGGATAAACGGTTTCCAGTCTAAAAAAATCTCAACATAATAATAATGTATTTATAAAGAGCTTAATATCCACCGTAGAGATGCTCAGTGGCACTGTGACAGTATTGGGGAAGGAAATGGTTCATATAGCTTTTACAGAAAGGCAGCAGTGAACAGATGGGTCTTTAGCAGAGATTTAAACGTTTCTTTCAATGAAGTGTTCCTGATTTCCTTTGGAAGAGATTTATACAGTTCAGGGCTCGCAAAGGAGACGGCTCGATCAGACAGTTGGTTTGGAGATATGCGTTGGGTGAGGAGAGAGTCAGAGGAGGATCGGAGACTTCGCTGGGGTACATACACGGAGACGAGTTGTTTTGAGATAGTCAGGAAAATTATCATTGTAGAGGCAGTCATGAGTCAAAATGTGGATTTTGAAGGAAATTCTTGCAGAGATGGGGAGCCAGTGAAGAGACTGTAGTACTGGTGTGATATGGTCATGACGAGGAGTGTGGAGGATACATCTGGCAGCAGAATTTTGGATTCTTTAATTGTAGTTTCTGGAGTGATTTAGTGGAGAAGATGGCATATAGTGAATTACAGTAGTCTGTTTAGAAGTGACAAGACAGTACATCAGACATTTACCGGTGTCAGTATCAAGGTAGTGGCAGACTTTGCTGATATTGTGGATGTTGTAGTGATAAAATTTGGTTACAAATATTCATCAACGTGCTTGGCTTGCAGGTATGCTTACATAGATTACGTGTAGATTACAGAATTTGTTTGAATTTGTGTTAGTTACCTATATCTTCTTGCAGGTAATTGTATCTGACTAATCACAGATGTATTGATACAAGCATAAACGCTCTTATTTTCAGAGAGTGACTGTGCTGTTGGCGTGTTGGTAGACCTTTCTGTACCTGATCCATTTGAAGAATTCTTAAAAAACAAAGACATCGAAGACAAAGAAAATGTCTTTCCAAGCAATGGTAACTTGCAGAATATCAGACTTTTTGTCTATGGATTATGAATTATTGACATCTATTACTGCCCTGGTTAACTCGGACATGTTTGGACAAGCCATCATCTTATGGAGTACTATTAAGAAAAAATGCACAATTGAAATATCAAACATATTTTGCTGCAACATGTTTAGAAACATTTATTTGTAGCTTTCTCAAACATTGTCTTGAACAGATCCTATAGAGATTGCTCGCAGCGATGACAGTGAAAGACGTCTGAGTCACACGCTTCAGAAACCTTTCGAGCTGGAGGACAGAATTTTGAAAGATGTCACCAAGACTATAACAGGAAATTCTGACAGAAGCTTGAAGGAAAGCCCTGGTAAGACGCTTGAAACATGCTCCCTTTGATAGTACAGCAACTGATCCATTATATGTCACAGCCAAAGTAAGAATTTAATGTTGTAGTGAGGCAATTCCTTTGAGATTACAAACTCAGTTTCTTAAAAGTGAGGGCCAGTGGGGTAGCCTAATGAATAAGGCGTTTGCTTGTCATGCTTAAGATCCAGGATCGATTCTCCACATGGGCACAATGTGTGAAGCCCATTTTGGTGTCCCCTGCCGCGGTATTGCTGGAATATTGCTAAACATAAAAGCGGAGTAAAACTTAACTCACTCACTCACTCATTATCGTCAATTTTTGGCAGGAAACAAATGGTATTTGTAGTTGGTTGTTTTGTAGTTTAATGCTGCATTCAGCAATATTTCAGTTATATGGCGGCGATCTGTAAATGATAGAATCTGGACCAGACAATCCAGTGATCCGCATCATGAGCATCAATCTATGTAATAAGGGTACAATGACATTTGTCAACCAACTCAGCGAGCCTGACCATCCGATCCTCTTAGTCACCTGTTACGACAAGCATGGATTACTCCAGACCAATCCTAACCCAGATCTTCACAGCTGTGGTATTTGTGAAGTCTCTTTAGAATAATTATTTGAAATAAGGTCAAGAGTATGGATTGGTGTACAATGTATCACTGATTCTTTTTCAGAAGAAGTCCTCCTCGGGGTACATATAAGCATTAAAATTTCCTACGACAGTTGTAACTATATTTTAATAAAAATATTTACAAAACAAAAAAACATGTTTTTGTCTTGAGAGACCACCCCTACAGGGCCCCACAGGGCCCCCTACAGGCAAGAGCAGATAACTCTAGCCGTCAACCTCGCACCTCACTTTTCATGCTGTTGTTCATTACAAAAGACGTGTGTGTGTGTTCATTGAAGTATAGAAACTTCTACTAACGGAAATGAGTGGTGAAAAGTCACCTGCTGTATGTATGGTGTGTGTACAAAAGACGTGTGTGTGTGTTCATCGAAGTATAGAAACTTCTACTAACGGAAATGAGTGGTGAAAAGTCACCTGCTGTATGTATGGTTTCATTTCTTTCGCACAGGCGCTACATGGAATTTATTGGTTGAATTTTGCATTCATAAATTGTTATAACTTTGCCAGTCAGGTTCCCATTTCCAGCCATGTGGCAGGCAAGATGGCGGATCAGGTGGCTTACATTCGTTCCTTGTTGTGTGACGCTTGGCGTTCACAAAACTAGGACGGCTGTATATATGTTTACCATATGCTAGGCTTGCCTATTTAATTTCGGAAGCGGGCCAAGACGGTGGAAAAGCACTCTTCTTCCCCTATCCCCTCTACATCTGCACATACCAATTCAGCATCTGCACCATTAATGTTAACAGATTTGTCCTCCATATTGCAGCAGCAGATGACTTCGGTTCGCTCACTTATCTCTGACGCGATGTCCGGTCTCCAGTAGGAGATCGGTATCCGTTCGGAGGTTAGTGGCGCTCCGGGGTCGTCTGCCAGGGCACTCCAACCTCGGGGTTAGGCTCCGGGACGGGTTCTGCCTCCGGGGGTGTGCCTTATCCGAGCTTCGGCTCCGGTGACGGCCTCTCTGCCGGTGCAGTTGTGTCTGACCTGAGCCTCGGCTCCGGTACAGTCCAGCTCACTGGCGCCGGTCCTTCGGGTCTCGTACCGCTGACAACCGGCACCCAAGCTGTGGGTACTCGAGTGCCGATGCTGCCGGTTACCTCGGTGCCTTCCAGTTTTCCATGGAATCCTGTTATGGCAGGCACTTCCCTGGGTCCTTGGCAACTAGGTTCGGCCTCGAGCCTAGGGTTGGTCGAGCCAGGCACCTCGGCTCTTCTTGATCCGTTGTCCTTGTCTGTGTATCCTGCTTCCGTGACTTCGAAGGTGACTCTTGACACCGAGAGCTCACTCCTGGAGGAGCATGAGGAGGAAGCCATGGAGGAGGTTGGGGGTCAGGAACAGTCGGGGGAAGGTAGCTTCTTGCTTAGCCTGTCCCTGAGGCAGGTACATGATTGTTTTGCTACTGTTTTGCCGCAGGTGGTCGTCCGACCCCGACCCCGCAGAGTTTCATCTCCCTGGGGAGGCCTTTGCTCCGTGTCGGGTCGCCGAGACCCATTTGCGCATTTTGCCTTTGCTCATAAGCGAGGTAATCAATCCTCTCTTATCATGTAGTCGGTCACGGTTGGATCTCCTGGAGCTCAATTGTCGATACTTGATGGGAGAGGATGCTCTGTTTGACCCTCCGGTGGTTGACGGGTGCATTTATGCCTCGTTCCCCCTAGGGGGGTCATCTGGCCAGTCAGGCATCGGCTCGGCAGGGCCGGCTCTTGCCTCCATTTACCTGAAATAACCAGGTGTTGAAGTCGGTATATCGCTCTTTTGAGGAGCAATACTGCAACGCCGTGCAATAATTTAAGGTTACCGTCCGCTCAACTTACCTCTCTGCCCTGCAGAAGAAGCTGGTGCACCACGTTAGCGAGGCAGCTTACGGAGGTGCACTCACATTTGGCACGCGGCGCAATACGGTCGTGCGCAAGCCAGATGATGAGTGCAGTCATGGGCCTCCGTAGGCTATGGCTGTCGGTCGCCAGGTATTCTCCGGCTATGCAGCAGGCTCTACTCTCTCTGCCCTTCAGGATGGGTTAGACCCTATTCCCGGGGGCTTTGACAGTAGTCTGGGAGGCCGCGGAGGTGGTTAGCCAGTTTAAGGATTCCAAGCCCTTGCTGGAGCAACCCCTCACCTCTCATGCCCGGCCTTCCGTCCTTGCCAGTGCATATCCTTCCTCTTCGGGGAAGGAAGCACCTAAGTGGACTGCTCCACTTCAGGCACGCAAGGGCAAGGGTAAGGGAAAGGGCAAGGCTGCTTCCTCTCAGCAGCCTTTTCAGAGGAAGGGGAAGTCGGCCCCGGTTTCCCAGTAATAATTCCTCCGGAGCCCTTAGTGGTCCCGGCGCAAGCAGTTGTTACACTGCCTACCGTCAGGATTCATTGCCTGTTACCCGACGTCCCTGTCGGCGGCCGACTAACACTATTCCTTCGCGAGTGGGACAAAGTCGCGTCAAATCTCTGGGTCCTGTCCACACTCAAGGATGGCCATATGCCGCAGTGGAAGCGAAGCCCTCCTCCTTTCTCCAGGATTCATTGCACTCCGGTGCTGACTTCTCAGGAGAAGGAGGATATACTCCGTGCCGAGGTCCAGTCGTTGCTGGACAAGGCAGCCATCGAGGTGGTTCCGACGGGCCAGGAAAATCTGGGGTTTTACTCCACTTGTTTCCTGGTTACCAAGAAGGACAGAGGGTTGAGACCCATTCTAAATCTAAAGGGTCTGAACGACATGATCGAGGTGCTGTCTTTCAAGATGGAGACACTGCGCTCAGTGATCAGTGATCTCGTCTGTAGAGGCAGGGGATTGGCTCACGTCAATCGACCTCAAAGACGCATACCTCCATGTCCCGGTTTTCCTTCGTCGGGAAGTGCTATCAGTTTCGGGTGCTCCCCTTTGGCATCTCCACGGCGCCAAGGGTGTTCACAAAACTCATGCTGGTGCCAGCTCAAGTCGCCAGGGCACAGGGCAACTTTTGTTACCCGTACCTGGACGACTGGCTTCTCAAAGCACTTGCCACCCACTTGAGTCGGGATTCTACACAGAGAGTGATGGATACTCTCACCAAGTTGGGTTGGATTATCAACCTCAAGAAATCAGAACTGTTTCTGACCCAGGATCTGGTTTTCTTGGGAGTGAGATTTGAGACACAGCAGGGATTAGTCTCTCTGTCTCGGGACCGCATTGCCAAAGTCCAGAGGATTGTTTTACAGTTCCTTCAGTTCCCCAGGGCCTCAGCTCGAACATGGCTTCAGTTGCTAGGCAACATGGCGGCGACATAGTTTGGCATGCACGTCTGAGGATTTTCCCATGCTTGGCTAGCTGTGTGCTATGGACAGTAGTTTGTTTTGGCGAGTTCCCCGTATTTACACACCTCCAACCCTTGGGTTGGGGGGTGGGGTTTATCACTGGGGATGTGACACCGATAAGCCAATAGGCATATAGGCTTTGACAATCCGGGTCCTCGCCCTAGCCATGCCCCCCGCCTTGATTGACATCGGCGGTCAGGTGACTACGTAAGTGTAAATTTTTCCTTATCCTGACTCATGCTCTTTTGCTTGTCTTATCTTCTTGCGAACATAGTGGAAACACTTGTATCTCCTTAATTGAAGCTCCCTTCAATGTAAAATCACTAATTAGCACTCACCACGAGTTGCTCCCCTTTAATCCCTTTTGGCGGGAAAGGTGTCGCCACCCTACACCTCGTGCTTCACTCTCTCCTTCTTCGCCCAGTGAGCAGGATGTGAGAGCGCCTGTGTCTCCTTACACAACATATCCTTTGATATTTCTTAGTTTATTACCTCTTATAGTTTACTATAGAGGTATAGCTAGTATCCTTCAGTAATTTGTATTGATTATTTATCGTATTTCTACTGTTTATTCGTGATTGTTCAGCTAGTATTACGTTGATGAAAATCTGTACTATTTGTAGATTACGTTTTTCTGCCTCAGATCCGCATGTAATATGCCCTAGTTGTTCTACACCGTGTGCGTTTGATTCACGTTGCAGTTATTGCATCAATTTATCTAATTCTGCATTTAATAAATATTATCTTTGCGTCTTAAGACGTGCTGCAGATAGGTCACGCAAACAAGGGCTAAATATGGCTGATACTCCAGATACTCCATCTAGTCAGCTGCTGGCGATCGACCCCCTACCGTCTGGTGTTCTGCTAGAGACCCCATCGGAAGAGGGACGTGGGATGCAGTCCGTCACCTCTAAGAAGCGACCGGCCTCCCCAGACATCCCGTCATCGCAGCTGAAGTCCAAGAGGGCCTCGACGTCTTCTCAACGCAGACTTCGTACCCCCAGGGCAGCGTCGACATCCAAAGGAAAGTCTACGAAGACAGCGAGAACCTTCTCAGCCGAGATCGTTCCAGCCGAA